TATGGGGCTGGGATCAGCAGTTAGCATAATGGCTACATCGCTGGACTCCCCTGTAGTTGACCGTAGTTCGAGTCCCAGATCCGGTGGCTTAAACTCACGCCAGGCGCATGTGCGTGTGTGCCCAAGATCCCGAGAAGAGAATGGAGGAGAAGGGATTGTAGCATGGCCATCCTCACAGGGGATGATTTCTCGCTTTCTGTCTGTCTCTGTCTGTCTGGCGAGCGCATGCGCCCTATAGCAAAAACCTCTCACTAAAAAAAAAAAAAGAAAGAAAGAAATACGGGGCTGGCAGGTGGCGTGGTGGTTAAGGCACTGGACTCTCACATGGCTAATCATGGTTTGAGTCTTGACTTGGCGGCTTGCTCTCTCACTTTCTCTGTCTCTCTATCTCTCTGGTCACATTAAAAAAAAACTAATAATAATAAATAAAATAAAATAAAATAATTCTTAAGAAAGAAAGAAAGAAAGAAAGAAACTCCTGGCCCAGTCACAGTGGCAGAGGGAGTAAGGGTGCTATTACATGACACAGGCTTAGGGTTCAGATCCTGGGTCAACCTGAACATGCCCATGACCTTGGCAAGCTAGAAGGCTGAAGGGAGGATAGTGGCATGGTAAGACCCTGTCCCTGTCAGGCATCTCTCTCTCTCTCTTCCACTTTCTATTATGACAAAAATTTTAAAAAAGAAAGTAACTCCCATGTCCATGTCTGGCCCACTACCAAGGACAACATGAGTTTTGGAGACCTATATAAGAAATGAAAGCAGTCTAACTTCTATATCTTAGTTAAAATACATATATTTTTAAAATATTTAAAAAAAAAATTTTAACCTGCTAAAAACCTCAACTTCCTCCCAAAAAAAGAAAAAAGAAATAGCTGCAGAAGTACCTGTTTTGTTTTGTTTTTGTTTGTTTTTTTTTTAAACTTGGCTGGAAGTTTAAATATTGGAAGTTTAAATAATATTAAACATACTGCAGGAAGCTCTGAAGGTACAGGCTCATCTAGTTTCCATCTCTAGACTGTACAGGAAATTGCATGAATCACATACTTACTCAAAACTCTAGAATGGCCCTTTTTGTCTGCCTCAAGACTGGCCAACATACCGTTTCTTTAGGAACGTGGCAACTACCTGAAGCACTGTAATAAGAAGGAGCCTGCAACCACAACGGGCTCAGGAAAACACCGTGCCCAGGCTGACCATCAGCGGCTGCCATGGGTCTGAGAAGGGGAAGCAGGAGGCAGGAGCCAGGCTTGCCAGCACATCAAGCCCAGAGGCACACTTAACAACCCCCACTATCTTGGGTTCTTCACTATTTTCAGGGCAAATAATCAGGTAAATATCTTTCTTTTTCTCTAATCATAGAGAGCGCGTGCAAGTGCCCAAGAAAGAAGCATCTTCCACAGAGTCTCATCACATCACACTCTCCTTCTCCAGCCCTCCAGTTCCTCAGGATCTGGGCACATGTGCACATGCCCAGCACATTTCCAAGCTGACCAGGGGACCCAAACCTGAGTTGGCCATACGGCTTTCAGACTTGCAGGGTGCCGTATTAGCGCTGAACTGGGCCCAGGCAGATACTATTGACATATGCCTATAACATGTGCCAAGCTTACTCCCACTCCAGGCCTTTGGCCGTGACTTATCTTCCTGGAATTCCCTCCTACATGACTCATCCTTAACGGTCAGCTTGTGACAAGTCATCCCAGAGACTTTACTAATCACGCTATAGAGACTCCGGACTCTGCCTTTCCTGCATTCCTTTGTCCTTTCTGAACTGCACTGTACCAACTGGAGCTCTATTAAATATAGTACAGTACTGCACCTTAGATACTTCCTCATTCCCTCCCTCCCATAAAGAAGTCAACAGTTTCACGGAAAAGACCTTCTGTCTTCTTATACTTCTCAGTGTGCTTTGCTGTACGCAAAAGAACCACCAAAACTTATTTGCTCATCAAATGACCAAGAACTAATAGGGCAAATATTTTTTCTTTTATCCTATACTAGTTTACATTCTAACCCCAGATGCCCTTGTCTTGTTGGACCTCTACTCTTGGAACAAATTCATTAGCACAGCTCCGTCAATCTCCAAATATTTCTCTAACAGATACCAGGGGGTGATATAAAACCTTAGAGACCATGATTCTATTCCTCAGAAGAGATCGGAGTACACACAAATAGTCCATGGGTATCTCCTGGATTATACTGATGGGCGGTGGGAGTAATCTTGGGCAGAGAAGGCCAGTGACAGCAAAGCCATCTGAAGGTCGTTACCTATCACCCTTGAGAAGGTCCCTGCATTTCTCAGCCCCTAGTCTTCATCATCACTGTTGTTGGGCAACTTTCTACTGCTAACGCCTGCAAGATAATGTTAGGTCTGAGGAAATGTATTCTATCAGAATATCTCCTTTCTGATTCATTCTCACCCTTAAATATGCTAGGAAGGAGTGTTATTCTAAGGAAATGCCAGGAAGAGACCCTAGGGCTTGAAGAGTAGTTCTAGTTTCCATTAGACAAAGGTCAATTTCTCAATGATTAAGAAAGGCAGAAAGCTCCAATAATCAGTGGCGATTTATGTAGATTCAAGGGTTCAAGGCCTAGACAGTGATACTCTGTGAGGTCAATCCACGTAGGAAGGCCCTGAGTTTGTGACTGGAGAACTCCTGAGTGCAACAGACATGCACGTGCTCGTGATATAAGCCAGCTGAGAATGGGGGTGGATGGTGGTATCGTGACTCTGTTTGGAGTGCTAGTTCCCTCTCTATCTCTGTCTCTTTCTCTCTCATTCATGAAGGAAATAAAATTAAAAAAATTTTTTTTTTTTTTCTGAAAAGGTTTTTGCTATAGGGCATGTGTGCTCACCAGAAAGACAGAGACAGACAGAAAGCAAGAAATCACCTGCTAAGGGGCATGGCCATGCTGCAATCCTTTCTCCTCCAGTCTTCTCTTGGGATCTTGGGAACACACGTACACGCGCCCAGCATGAGTTTAAGCCACTGGGTCCAGGACTCGAACCATGATCAACTACATGGGAGTCCAGAGACATAGCCATTACGCCAATTGCTGGTCCCAAAATTTAAAAACTTAAAAAAATGAGTTCAAAATTAAGAAAATGAGATCAAGCCCCCTCCCCCCCACCCCCAAGAAAAAGCAGAACGTGAACCTGCAATTTTTTTCTTTCTTTTTTTGGAGAGGTTTTTGCTATAGGGCGCATGCACTCGCCAGAAAGACAGAGAGAGACAGAGAGATGGAAAGTGAAAAATCCCCCCCTATGGGAGATGGCCACGCCACAATCCCTTCTCCTCCATTCTCCTCTCGGTATCTTGGGCACGCCCGGGATGAGTTTAAACCACCGAGTCCAGGACTCAAACCACGGTGGACTACATGGGAATCTGGCAACATAGCCATTACGCTAACTGCTGGTCCCGACCTGCAATTTCAAAAAGATGGAGTGGGAGTAATCTCTTCTAAAAATTACTTAGTATAGTGGCTATGGGTCAAAGCTTGCTTTTAAAGCTGACTTTGCCTGTAAGAAGAAATGTGAAAGAGGCAATTCTGGCTTAATGGCCAGGGGTGGGATTCTTCTGACCTTGACTGATGGTATTCCTTATATACCTACTGTCCCTCTCATGAAAGTACCACAGCCAGGTGACCCTAATCCCTTGTTCAAGCCAAAGGTAACCAACTATAGCCTGAGTATAAGACACCCCGACCGGGCTGGCTGGTGGTGTATCAGTTGAGGCTGCTGGATCCTACACAACTGACTGCAGTCTAAGTTCCAGACCCAGTGGCTTGAAAAACACTTGGGGCACCTATGTGTGTGCGCCCAAAATCCCTAGAGGAGAGTGGAGGAGAAGGGATTGTGGCATGACTATCCACCTAGGGAGTGCTTTCTCTTCTCTGTCTCTCTTTCTCTTTCAGGTGAGCACATGTGCCCTGCGGAAAATTTTTTTAAAAATTTAATTAAGAAAAAAAAGACAGTCCAACCATCTAAAAGGTGGCTGCACTCAAGATGCTGGTCAACAGGGGAGCCTCTTACAAATAGATGAAGACAAAAACAAACAATCTCATTTGATGATTATCAATGTGAGATGAAAAAAGGCTAGCAGACAGATGTATTTTTTTAAGTTTGTTTGTTTTTTTTTGTTTGTTTTCATGAAAGTGAGAGACAGAGAAAGAGGTGGGGGGGGAGCACCTCATCAGGGTCTCATGGCATGATCCCCATCCTCAAGCCCTCTTGCCAGCCAGGATCATAAGTCTAGAAAGTACAAGTTGACCACAGAACTGAACTGCAATCTTCCATAATCCCATTCTGCTTGAGCAGCATTTTACTCCTGTGCCACCGAGCTGGCCCCGGTACTACTTTTGGGTCCTGAAAGATGATGTGTGTGGTTTCTTTCTTCTCCACGAGGCCCGAATAGAAAGAGACAGGCCCTGGCAGGTGATGCCTGCAGTCAGGCCTGGATAGATCCTGGGACTTCCTCATTCTTCTCTATCATAAACTCCTAGCACCTTAGGCAATAGTTTCCTTGTATCACCCTTGGACCACTTGTAAAGGTATCATTTCTATTTTCTATTCTTTTAAAAATGTGCTAAAGGGTGCACATTCTCAATGGAGAGAAACAGAGAGGGAGAGAGAGAAAGTTAGAAAGCACTCCCCATGGGGGATGGTCACGCCACAATCGCTTCTCCTCCACATCTCCTTTTAGGATTTTGGACACTCACGCACATGTGCCCAGTGTATTTCTCAAGCAACCAGGTCCAGGATTCAAACTGTGCAGTAAGTAATATGGGACCCAGCTGCCTTAACCACCAGGCCACTGGCTGGCCCAAGGAATCACTTTTAAAAGTATTTATCTCCACCTCCCTCTTCCTATTAAATCAGAATCCCTGGAGCTGAATCCAGGGGCGGGAACTTATAATTAATGCCTTAAGGATTCTTATGCTCATGAAACTTTTAAAACTACTGAGGAAAGGTTATCTAATTCTTTTTTTCTTTTTCAGAATTGGCTTGCTCATCTTCCTCTGCCTGGTCCAGGACAAGGCCATGCATCTCTTGTGGGGCACCCCATACTTTCTGAGAAGATTTCTTTTCTACCTAGACTCCAGGCCAATCTGCTGTCCTAAAGCCACGGAAACCTTGAATGAGCTCCACGCCATGTGGTACTTGTTCAGAAACTTGGTGACCAGCAATTCACTTATTTCATGAGGGTGAGAGAGAGAAAGGCACCCTCAACAGGCTCTTCCTGCATCCACGTTAGCTTTTTCTGCTATCTTGACCAGACGCATCACATGGTTCCTCTCTGCTCTCTCCACAGTGGATGCTTTTCAAGTCAGCCGATACCTCAGATTCTGCACCCTCAGTTCAGTGGAGGTTCTCATTTTCTTTCAACATGTATGTCCTTTAAATGCTCTCAACTTTGCAATCCTTATGTCAGCCATAGCACGTGGGAGGAGGGAGTATCAAAGTCCCACCAGAAACTACACACTCTCTGTTCCTGGGAAATGTGGCCAGAATTTCTCTCCAAGGTGTGTCTTCATGGGAAGAAGAGTGGCAGAAAAGAGGGGAGGTGACAGAGAGTCCCTACTCTGTGGACCCAGGACAGTCTTCTTACATTCCATTTTGCTGCTGTGACTTGGATTCAGAGAAACTACACATTACATCAATTTTACAATAATTTAAAATAGAGAGAAATTGTGTTTAGGTTTGTTCAAGACTGTCAAAGAGGAAAAAAAAAAATCCATACTAGAAGTCCTAAATTTACCTGAGTAGATATCTCTGAGTACCTTTCACTCTGGGTAATGGGATGGACTTGATACCATCTTCTGGGGCATGGATGGATATGAAACACACCAACTATGAATGGGCATCTCCTCTGCCAAGCATTTCTGCATTCAAAATGCCTCACATGGGCTGGGCTAAGTTCAGAGAACTAATTCCATTTCCACTCCAGCATACTCAAAATATTCCAGGCATAACTTCTCTTAAGAATGGACAAGCTTACATAATCAAAATGTGTTAGATGAGTTTGGTTCAACCTAAACCTACACACACACACACACACACACACACACACACACACACACCTACATACTGGTGCTCTACAGCCCACAATGAAAAATCAAATAGAGTCTTCTGGGAATTAAAGGAGAGCAAAGTATTTTAGGATTAGAGTAAAAGAAGGTCAAGCTCTGAATAAGGTCTGGGTTTAGAGAGTTGGCTAACTCCCCAGAAAAATCATACCAGCAGGCAGAATCTGGAGCAGCCAGACTGGCTGACCAAGAACCTGATTCTTCTGCCATGAAAAGGTGTCAACAACAAGCAGATGCCCGTTAGGTATCCAGACCCTATCATTTACCAGACTATTCCTGTCTCATAGGAGACATATACTCATATATGCTGAGCAGAGACCAATATATGAAGATTCCTCTTTCCTTCTTTCCTAAATTGGGGCTCTTAATATAGTTTAAAATTTTTTTGGTACATTTTACTATTTTTCTTTTGTATGTTGGGTGTATTGGGATGGTAAAATTCAACATTTGGTCCAGTATGTTTACAAAATTTTAGATAAACAACCTTCCTTTGTTTATGCATGAGGAGACTCCAGAAAGTTCATGGAAAATAGAATTAAAATACAGGTTTATTTTGGTCTAAAATACTGGAAATTCATGCATAGTTTTTTCATAGTATGCATTTTCCATGAACTTTTGACGACTCCCTCATATATATATTTATATATATATCATATGGTATACAGATATACACATATACTGTTCAATTATTTTTTATTATCATTATCTAAACCAATTTTATTCATCGAATTTTTTTATTGAGAGAACTGTAAATTTACATGCAGTTGTATGAAATACTATCAAGACATTCCTTGTACATTTTGTGCAGTTTCTTCAAATGATCACATTTTTCAAAACTGTGGCCTAATATCAGAAACAGGGTACTGAAACTGATATGTTCTGTCTTATTCAGATTTCTCCAGTTTGACTTGCATTCGTCTGTGTGTGTGTGTGTGTGTGTGTGTGTGTGCGTATGTGTGTGTATTAAGTTCTATATAATTTTATCATCTGAGTAGGTCTGCATGCTCACCACCACAAACAAGATGTGGAGCTGTTCCAATTCTCAAGAATCCCTTATGTTGTTGTTCTATATCCATCACCCACTGTCCTCCTTCTCCTCTACTCTCAATGCCCCTAACCATAACCCCTAACCACTCATCTATCTTCTATTTCTGAAATGTTTCCATTTTAAAAATGTTGCATAAATGGAATCATATACCACAAAACCTTTGGAACTGGCTTCAGTTTTTAGCATAATTCCCCTGAAGGCTTATCCAAGTTGTATGAATCAGCAGTTGGTGGCCTTTTATTGCTCAGTAGTATTCCATGATATGGATGCACCAGAGTTTGTTTAACCATTGAAGGACATGGGGATGGATTCCAGTTTGGGACTATTACAAATAAAGTGTCTATGAATATTCATGTCCAGATTCAGTATAAACATAAATGTTCATTTCTCTGGGATAAATGCCCAAGAGTGTGACTGCTAGGCCATATGGTACCTGCATGTTGAGTTTTATAAGAAACTGTCAAACTGTTTTCCAGAGTGGTTGTGCCACTTTATATTCACACCAGCAGTGTATGAATGACACAGCTTTTCTGTTCCCTCGCCAGCTTTACGTGCCGTCAGTTTTTTATTTTAGCCATTCTGATAGGTCTGACAATGATGTTGAACATCTTTGCATACCCTTGCTCATCATCTTCAAATCCTTTTGGGTGAAATGTCTGTTCCTATCCTTTGCCCATTTTCAAAATTTGTTTTACATATTAATTTTGAGAATTCTTTATATAGTCTACATACTAGTCCTCTGAAGATAATATTTTCTCCCTGTCTAGAGCTTACCTTTTTCTCTTCACCTGAGCTTCCACAAATTAAATATTTTAATTATTATTATTATTATTTTTAGGATTTTTGCCATAGGGGGTGTGTATCCATTGGAGAGAGGTAGAAAGAGGAAAAGTGAGAAGTCACCCCCCAGGGTGATAGCCACACTGCAATCCTTTCTCCTCTGTTCTCCTCTCAGGGTTTTGGGCACACACGCACACGTGTGCCTGGCATGATTTTAAAGCCACCAGGTCCAGTGGTTGGCCTTGTGGGATCCAGCACCTTAACCACCATGCCACTTGCTGGTCCCAGAGCAAATATTTTTAAGAAGTCAAATTTATCAATTTTTCCTTTTATAGATTATATTTCCAAATCTAAGAACTCTTTGCCTAGCCCTAGCTCTCAAATATTTTTTCTAAGGAACTTTCCCAAAACTTTTATGGTTTTACATTTGCATTAAAGTCTATGATTCACTTAGACTAATTTTTATGTAAGGTTGAAATTTATTTTTGTTTTGCCTCTGGATGTTCAATTTGTCCAGCATCTTTGGTTGAAAAGCTATACTTTCTTCATTGATTTGCTTTTACATCTTTGTCAAAAATCAGTTGAGTTTACTTATATAGACTTATTTCAGATTTCTGTTCCATTGATCTATATGTCCATCCCACTGCCATGATCATACTGTCTGGATTACTATAACTATACAGTAAACCTTAATATAGGATAGATTTTTTTTTCATTTTTTTCTTCTTTGTCAATATCTTCAGATATTTTAGTGCCTATGCCTTTACATATAAATGTTAAAAATACACTTGCTTATGTTTACAAAAACTTTCCTAAGGTATTAAAGAACTGCACATAAGTCTATGAATTTGGAGAAAATGGACATCTTTACTATTTTGCTCCTTTTGATTCATGAACATAACATAGCTCTCCATTTGTTCAAGTCATTTGATGTTTCTCATTAGCGTTTTGTAATTTCCAGTATACAGATCCTACACTTATTTTGTAAAATACATAACTAGGGGGCCAGCAGGTGGCATGGTGGTGTGGTGGTTAAGGTACTAGGCTCCCACATGGCTGACCATGGTTCAAGTCCTAGACCGAGTGGCTACATAACTAATAATTTTACTTTAATTGGAGCCACCACAAATGGGATTGTGTTTTTAATTTCAATTCCTGTATAATCATTGTTAGTATATAGAAATGTGATTAATATTTTGTGTGGATCTTGTGGCCTATGACTGCTGAATATACTTACTCTTTTTAGGAGTTTTTTTTTTTTTTATGTTCCTTGGGATTTTCTAGGTAGATAATCATATCTGTGCATAAACCAACTGTTTAATATTTTAAAAGAAATGACATATCTCTATCACAAATAGAACATTACTGTCAACTATAATAAAAATGTAATCCTGAAAGGATAAATACAATAACAATAAACTGTAATTAAATTCTGGCTAGATAGAGTTGTCTGCAGAAGGCCCTCCACCTTAGGCTTGTTCTCTTACTCTCTTTCTCACAAACAGAGAATGTAGGGATAAAAATAGGTGTGAGATCCAGCTCTGGCATAGCTGGTAGTGTACTGGACTGAGGAGCTGAAGCTACATGCCAACTGTGGTTTGAATCCTTGGACTGGTTGGCTAGAAAATATGCCAGGTATGTGCATGGGGTCCCACGATTCTAGATAGCTAGAGGACTGGAGGAAGAGGATTGTGGTGTGACTAAACCCAGAAGTGAGAGGGAAGGGTGAGGGGATGTTTCTTTCTCCTCGCTCTCTCTCACAGGTATATGTTCTATTATGACTTAAATAAATACATAACAGGTGTTAAAAACTTACAAACTTCAGATTCAAATGCAACATTCTCTAGGACAGGCCATATACTAAGTCATAAAATAAGCCTCAATACATTTAATATAATTAAAATCAGACAAAACATATTTCAGATTACAATGGGATTAAAAATCATTGGCTATTAGAAATTTGGGAAATTCACAAATATATGAAAATTACACAATATACTACCAAATAAAAAATGGGCCAAAAAATAAATTTGAAAATATTTTGTAGGTTGTGATGATGTTCAATGAAAGAATATAAAATAAATAAATAAATTCAAAAAATACTTTGAGATAATCCAAAAAGCAGTATACCAAAACTTAGGGGATGCAGCTAAAGCAGTGCTTGGGGAAATGTTATAATTGTAATTGCTTACTTTAAAATGGATCTCAAATAAACACTCTAACCTTCCCCCCTTGAAAAACTAGAGAGGAGGAGAGCAAGCTCAAAGTAAACAGAAAGAAGGAAATAATAAAATTAGAGTGAAATAAATGGAATAGGAAAATTGCAGAAAGAAATCAACGAAAATGAACAGCAGTTCCTTAAAATGTTCAACAAAATTGACAAACTTTAAACTAAGTAAGAAAAGAGATAGACTGATACATGCTACAACACAGATAAACCTCAAAAACATTACGTTAAGTGAAAGAAGCCTGTCACAACAGACCAGGTAGTGTATGATTCCATTTATACAAAATGTTGAGAAAAAGAAACAAATTTGTAAGACAAAAAGGTATATTGGTGGTTACTGGGATCTGGAGAAGGGGTAATTTGAAGTGACTGCAAATAGGAATGATGTTCTTAGGGTGATGGAAAAGCCCTTAAAGTTAGATATGATCATGATTGCACAACTCTAGAAATATACTAAAAATTCATTGAAATATAACTTAAAACTGGTCATTTTTAGGTTGGGTAAGTTATTGCAATAAATTAATGTATAAATATTAAAAATTTATTAGCATCGGGACCAGCAGGTGCCATAATGGTTATGTCACTGGACTCCCATATAGTAGACTGCGGGTCAAGTCCTGGACCCAGAGGCTTAAAAAATCATGTGAGGCCTGTGTGCGTGTGTGCCCAGAATCCCTAGAGGAGAATGGAGGAGAAGGGATTGCAGTGTGGCCATCTCCCCTGGGGGGTGACTTCTCACTTTTTGTCTCTCTGTCTCTCTGGTGAGTGCATGCACCCTCACAGCAAAAATCTCTAAAAAAAAGTGTTTTTTTACTAGCATCAAACTAATCTTTCTCATTAACCTAATCAGCAATCTGAAGGAGAAGCACAAAGGGAGTTATTTCTTGTTGCATGTGTCAATAACAAGTACCACTGAAAATAATTTTGTGAGTAACAAAAGATACATATCCGGCACTTGAAACCACAACTGCAGGATCCTGAAGAGTCACATTCAGATCTTTCTGAGGCAAACTAGAGGACACAGGACCTTACCCAGAGAACTAAGATTCACAGAACAGTGGCCCCGTGATGTCATTGCTTGACAGTAGTAGCGATGGGTCATCGTAAGTCATGATATTTTTCACTTTGTCTACGCAAAAATGTGTCATGACTTTTCAGATGACTCAACAGATAGCCTTGGATTGTCTCCCATTGGGAAGGAGGGGCTGTGAGTGAATTTATAGTTGAAAGTGTGAATGGAGTTTGTCAGCTGGAGCATTTTGAAAGCCACAATATATAGTATAGGAATCAGTTTGGCACAAATCAGAATGCCCACTGAGAATACTGTACCAGTGCATAAAAGGTGAATCTGGGCTGACTCTGCAGCGCAGTGGTTAAGAGCCATGCATTGGGAGCTGGATCCCACAGGCCAACTGGACTTTAAATTCAGTCTTCCCTTTGCCTTTATTTTTTACTTTTTAAATTTTTTAAAGAATTATTTAATTTTATTTATTCATTTATTTACTTTAATTTGACTGGAGAAAGACACACTCACAGAGAGAGAGAGAAGGAAAGTGAAAAAGAAGTCACCAGGTCCGGGATTCAAACCATAGTTGACCATGTGAGATGTCCAGGACCCCAACCATCACACCACCTGTTGGCCTCCCCTTTGCGTTTAAAACATGCCAAGTGCACGTGCATGTTTGCTCAAAATAATCCTGATGAGATGAAGAAATGGAGGAAAGAGGATCACAGCCTGATTATGCCTCTGGGGGTGCTTTCTCTCTCTTTCTCTCTGGTGAGTACATGTATCTTCTGGAGAATTAAAAATAAATAAATAAAACAAAAAGGTGAACTCCATCCTAAGAAACAGCATGTCTTTGGGTGCTAGCAGCCAAGCCAACATGTCACACACATGTTTTGCCTGGCCAGGTTATACTTTTACAGAGACTGCCCCTCTTCAAGACCACTCACCCTCCCATTCTCATCATTATGGTGGGAAGTACCATCTTGTACTACCCAAATCCCCTCCCTTACACATAGGTGCCTGGTCATGACGTGCAAAATCCTTTCAAAGTAGTTTACAACTGAAACAGAGAATGCCAGGCCAATATTTCTCCAGAGACTAACTCTGCAGCATATCAAAAACTAGAGCTATGTGGATACCAGGAGCTTCCAATAAATGTCCTGTTTCTCTGAAGTTAATTTCAACCAGATTTTAGTTCCACACAACCAAGAATCCTAACTAATACCATTCAAGTTTGTTTCCTGCTTAAAGTTCTCATTTTCACAATATTGTAGGGTTGGTCTAGTTCAAGTTGTACCTTGACACAATTAGGTCATGCTAGATGATAGCACCTTCTCTCAGTAAAGTCTCTACCCACTCAGGCCTCCTTCTGAGGACAAAAGTTAGAGATCCTGCTAGGAATACTAGAGGAACAAGATGTTTAGGATTACAATGAGAAAGGGAGATAAATGAACTAAGTCTGGGGAGTCCAAAGATTTGTCCAATCCCCAGGAAAACAAACGATTAAGTGGTGTTTATGGCTGTTATTATAAACCGACCTGATGCAATGTGATATAAGTCTTTTGAAATCCCAAAGAAACACAGTAGTTTATCAAGTGCCATGTTAAGAACTTTTCTAAGATCCATTTTCATCATTTGTTTAACTTTGGTTTAATTGTATTTGGATTAGCAAAACTAGAAGCATGATGTTGTTGTCTTTATAAAAATCAACTTCTGGAATTTCCAAACCAATGAAATAAAGACAATGCAAACTTACTATTTCCTTTTTCATAATGTATTTTTTAGTAAAATAGCTAGGTTACTAGGTTAGATAATACTATCACCAAATCTCTAATCTATGTGGACCCTACAAATTTCAAGTATAGAAAATTCAATAATCCCCTCTCACTGGGGATGCCAAGGTGTTCATATACAATGTGTCATATTCAGGTATTAGGAAAAAAAATAGTAATATTATGTAGACTTGACTATATCCTTGGGTTAACTTCTAAAACTAAAATAAACAGGGATGACATGGAAAATATTGAGAATTCCAACAGTCACTACTATATAAAAGTGTTACTAAAATTGTACTAGTAGTAACTTTTATAAAGAGTAGAAAAGGTAAAAAATGAAAATCATAAAATAATCTAGCCCAAAGATTCTAGAGTCAGAGATATAACTATGCTATGTATAGGAGATTTAATTTTAATATTCATCATTGTGTGGTCAGTCAGATATACATTTATCTGTCATTTTCCCTTAATTCCTGTCTGGTTGAATAAATACACCATTGACTATCCTAAATGAATGGCCATCAGTTAAATTATTAAACTGAAGGCAGATATAACAATAAAAACAATAAAACAAAATCCCTTCTCCCTTGCAGACGTTTAGGGATGGAGGCTATGAACTACATGTAAAACATTTCTAAATGCATCTTACCTAATATCTGAGAGATCACATTTGTTTCCAGCAATAGCCATTACAATGTTTTCTGGACCATGTTCTTTCAGTTCTTTAACCCATTTCTTCAAGGTATGAAATGAATCCTAAACCAAACAGTGAAAAGAATCATTGGAAAGACTCATCGATATTCAACCAAGTAGAAATACAAACCCAATTCAATTTAGTGGAGAAAAATATTTTTAGAAAATTGATGAAGATTAACATACTCTTTCTGTGTAGGTGCAAAAGTTAACATTAGCTCAGTTATGTTTACATAGCCTATTAAAGGTTTGTTTTCTAAAATTAAAACATGGGAGTTAAGAAAATCATGCTAGTGGTTTTTTTTCTGTATTTAACATTAATGCAAAACTATGGCCTTTGAATAAGGGTAACAGGACTAAATGAATATTCATTCATTCATAACATTAAGAAAGGAACCTATATATAAATTTAGGGTCCTGTCTTCTGTCCAGCCCTTCGCTCACAGCTGTTCTGCAGGAAGCATATCTCAGCAGACACCACATTCAGATAGAAGTCATTGGGAACTCATAGAAGGTAACGGTGATGAACCATTACACTAATGATCTGTGCACTGAGTTGGCGCTCCAGGGAATAAAGTAAATACTCTGGTTCTCGACAGTGGCTCAGCAGTCAAACACGACACTGTGAGGCTGACTTCCATGGGAAGGTTCTGGGTTCATGTCCAGAGATCTCCCTGAGTATACCCAGCATATACATGCCTGTGACCCCAGGCTGGCTGAAGCCAGATCACAGTATCAAGACTGTGTTGGGGGTACTGTCTCTGTGTGTCTCTCGCTCTTATTCATGGAAAATAAGACTTTTTACAATCCTGTCTTCAAAAGAAAAGCAAATAGAGGCTTATAGATGGTGTGATAGTTAAGGCATCGGACTCCCACATGGCTGGAGTCCCGGACCTGGTGGCTTGCTTTCTCACTTTCCCTCTTTCTCTCCGTCTCTCTCTGATCAAATTAAAAAATAATAACATGGATCAGCAGATGGCATAATGATTATGTCACTGGACTCCACGTAGTCGACAGTGGTTGCACCCAGTGGCTTAAAACTCAGAGCAGATGCATGTGTGTGTGTGCCCAAAATCTCGAGAGGAGAATGGAGAAGGGACTGCAGCACGGCCATCCCCATCCTTTCTATCTCTCTGTCTCTCCGGCAAGTGCTTGTGTATGACAGCAAAACTCTCTCTCTCTAAATAAATGATAATAATAATAATTAATTAATTAAATTAATACTTATTTTTTAAAAAGAAAGAAAAGTCAACCAATTGGTGGGAGTGCAAAAAAAAAAAAAAAGTCTCTCATTCATGGACCATAAATAAATAAACTTTAAGAAAATCCTGTCTTTAAAAGAAAGGTAAATAATTCTGGGACCAGCAGTTAGCATAATGGCTATGTCGCTGGACTCCCACGTAGTCAGCTGAGGGTCAAGTCCCAGACCCGGAGGCTTAAACTCATGCCAGGTGCATGTGCGTGCGTGCCCAAGATCCTGAGAGGAGAATGGAGGAGAAGGGATTGCGGTGTGGCCATCCCCCCTGGGGGGTGATTTCTCGCTTTCTGTCTCTCTGTCTCTCTCTGTCTGTCTGGCGAGCACACGCCTCGTATAGCAAAAACCTCTCCAAAAAAAGGTAAATAATTCAATTTGTAGGAGTAGAAAAAAAAGTCATTAAGCCACTGCAGTTATTTATGAATGGTTATCCTACAGCCTGACATGGTAACTAAAAACATTTGTATTATATATAATGTAAATATACCAAACATACAAAGATCTATCCATACACACATGAACATTGTCCTTAGCAGTTTAAGTAGTATGACTAAAACACTAATAGAAAATAAATGTTCTATAATCAAACACACGGAACTTTAAAATCATTTTCCATTTCTTAAAAGATTGACCTTCTGAAGAACTGTCTAAGCAGGCATAACCTTGCCTCTACAGTCAATTGTAAAAATGAATGGTCCCTGTAATTTATTTAAAGCAGATACATGTGAGATGGTTTGTTGTATGTAGGTGAAATAAACTCAGTATATAGTGTCCACTACCCCCAACTTCAACATGAAATCTTATTTCAAGCTACTGGTAGGACTCAAGCAATGACCATTCTGCTTTAGTCTTTCTAAGACAACAAACCCCCCATACACAGCATCTCAGTTCCACAGCAGACATTCTTACCTGCTTGGTAATATCATACACTATGACAGCGGCAGCAGATCCTCGATAGTACATGGGAGCCAGTGAATGAAACTGTTTAAGAACAATGTAAAGTTTCAGGCGCAGTGAACAGATTTGATGCAATCCCAAGTTAAATATATTTTTTATCTTACATCATCCTTACAGAATTCTAAATTCCACCTCGAACTTTTCCAGGGTTCACATTAAATAATAAATTTCCCTTCTTGGCTGCACATACATTTGTGGTTCATAGACCATGAATGTACTCTTGAGTAAAGGCCAAAAACAAATTTCCTCTTAAATGTCACCATCCTGTAAATTTTCTTTTCTCTACTGCTCATCACTTACCTAATATGATTGACCCAGGGCAATCTCATTAGAATTACACAGCAGTAAGAAAAATATCTATGCCAAGGGGAGAAAAATAGAACACTGGCAAAGATCACAAGACCCTTGCTGAGCCACTAATGAGGAACACTGCGGCAAGGGCAGCCTCACGCTACTCGGCCTCAGGCTGGAGGGCTGCCAGCTCTTGAATGCAGAGCTTTCTTGCCTTCCGAAAGTCTGCAGATGGTAAGATATTAGATGAGTTCCATTCCAAAACGTTAACAAAGCAAGTATCATCCATCACTAGAATCACTCACTGGCAAACGGGATAGACAACCATTCTCAGAATATATACATCTTACGCTTATTTTGGAAAAGGGTCCAGTCTTAATTTGCATTTTTAAAGTTTAATTTAAAAAATACCTTGGGACCAGAAACACTCTGTAATGCTGGACCCACATAGGAAGGTCCTTCTGTGGTTCATGTCCCGAGGTTTCCCGTACTCCCTGGGTGCTTGTGTGCCTGTGATCTGGGGGCTGGCTAACACTAGAGTGAAACAGCATGAAGACACTGTTGGGCAGCTTGTCTCTCTTTCTCTGTCTCTTTCTCATAGAAGAGAGAGAGAGAAATAAAAAAGGGAAATAAGGAGGAAGACCGAAAATAAGAAAGTTCAAACATTTTCTTGGAGGGGTTTTGAAAATCAATGAGAAAAAGATAGCTCAATAGAAAAAGGGACAAATTATATATATATATGTATATATATATGTATTATACACACACACACAACATAGATAAATCACAGGGAAGATATAAATCACCAATAATTTTTTTAAGAGAGATTTTTGCTATAGGGTGCATGCACTCGCTAGAGAGAGAGATAGAAAGACAGAAAGTGAGAACTCATTCCTCAGGGGGGATGGCCACGCTGCAATCCCTTCTCCATTCTCCTCTCCAGACTTTGGGCATGCACGCACACACCCGGTATGCATTTTAAGCAGCTGGGTCTAGAACTTAAACTGCTGACATGAGAGTCCAGCAACATAACCATTACATCATCTGCTGTCCACCAATAGGTATTTTAAAACATGCTCAACTAGAATAAAAAGAATGAAAATGAAACAACAATGGGACACTTATTTATTAAATATTGAAAAGATCGATCATGCCCAGTGTTGGCACAGGTTTGGGAAAGGAGGTGTCCAGAATACTCCATGGGAACATACTTTAATACCTTCTTTCAAAGCCACTGTAGGCAATATATTTCAAAAGTTGAAATGTGGGGAACCAGCAGTTAGCATAATGTCTATGTCGCTGGACTCCCACGTAGTCGACCGCGGTTCACATCCCGGACCTGGTGGCTTAAAACTCACGCCGGGCATGTGTGCGTGCATGCCCAAGATCCCAAGAGGAGAATGGAGGAGAAGGGATTGGGGCATGACCATCCCCCCTGGGGGGTGATTTCTCGCTTTCTGTCTCTATGTCTCTCTCTGTCTGGCGAGCGCACACGCCCTATAGCGAAAAACCTCTCCAAAAAATAAATAAATAAAAGTTGAAATGTGCATTTCATCTGAGCCAGTAATCTCACCTATAAGGGATACATACTGGAGTGGTAATCACACACAAAAAGATACATCCTTATGTTGTATATGGCAGCATATATTTTAAAACAACCTAAAGGTTCATCATAGGGAATTGCTTAATGGTATAATGTTATGAACGGAATGTTTGCAGTGCCCCTGCCCCCATCATATGCTGAACCCTTAACTCCCAATATTAAGATATTAAGAGATGGGGCTTAGGGCGGTAATGAGGGTTAGATGATGCTGTGAGAGCAGATGGGATAGTGACCTCACACAAAGGGGAAGAGAGCACATCTGGTTCTCTCTCCACTCTGTGAGGACACAGCTAGAGGACAGCTGTATGCAAACAGGAAGTGGACCCTCACCAACTACCCCATATGCCAGCACCTTGATCTTGGGCTTCCCAGCCTCTAGAACTGTGAGAAATATAGCTTTTAAGCCTCCCAGTATGGTATTTTGTTATAAAGTCTAAGTGAGCTAAGACATAATGGAATATTCCACAACCATTCAAATGATGATGAGAATGTTCATTCATAAGAAAAGGTATCTTAACATAGCAGTAAATGAAAAAACAGTCTCAAAGTTATACATATAGCATAATATGGTTAGGCTAAAATGTGTGTAAAAGTATGTTTCCATGTACAGGAATAATATGATGTTCTTCAAAATGTTAATGATGGGATCTCTGTGATTTTTTTTTCCTTATAAGAGTCTGTATGATATAAACTTTTACAATAGTTTTGAAATAAAGTAGCTTTTAAGTTTTAAAAAAAATACAGCCATTTTTATTGGGACATAGGGGACGGAGTAGGGAAAAACAGAAAGGATGGATCCTGAAGCTTTTCTGGCAAACAACAAAACCGTAACTCATTTGCTTTATTTTATTTTATTTTTAAGAATTATTTTTATTTAATTTTATTGATTATTATTATTCTTTTAATTCAACCAGAAAGAGAGAGAGAAAGGGAAAGTGAGAAAGCAAGCCACCAGGTCCAGGACTCAAACTGTGGTCAGTCATGTGGGAGTTCAGCACCTTAACCACCATACTCTACTCATTCATTTTATAACCACATGATACTTATTGCTGCATAAAGGTTTGCCAAATTGAAGTGATCGTATCTGGAAATTTGAAGCACATGAGTTCCCTAGGGTTTTCTTTGATTACACTGAGAAATGCTGGTAAGGCACGCACAACAATGTAGACAGAAGCAGGCTACCCTTCCCATCCTCCATGTCTCTCTATGCCAGCTTCCACGAAGGGCCTCAGCCCTACCCATACGCCCTCTGACCAGCACAGGAATCATTCCAGAATTCGCTTGAGGACAGTGTCCATTTGCCATGCATGCCTTTCCATAGTCATTGACTGCCCAACACTGTGTGTTTGTCTTAATTATTTGAGACATTGGCAAAGTCATAATGCATTATTGCACAGTAAAGCAAAAAGTACGTCATGACTTTTCTGACAACCGAATACTAGGTTTCCATAAATCTATTTTAACCCCTATTCTGGCAATCCACTCCTCACATGTAAAAAGCAAAATCAGGCTATTTCCCACTATACAAAATGGCAGGTGAAAAAGCTGCGAAGCAGGATACTAAGGAGAAGAAACCTGAAGCCATGAAGGCTGGTGCCAGTGGCAAGGTTAAAAAGGGTGACCACAAGGCTAAAAAAGTCCAAGAAGGGGAAGCCCCATTGCTGCTGAAACCCGGTCCTAGTCCAGGACATTGGCAGATACTCACGATCTGCCATGTATTAAAGGAAGGTCATGTACAAGAGGAAATACTCGGCCACTAAATCCAGGATTGAAAAGAAAAAGAAAAAGGTTCTTGCCACTGTCACAAAACCAGTTGGTAGAAACGAGAATGGTGGTACCTGGGTGGTTAAACTTTGCTAAATGCCTAGGTGTTATCCTACTGAAGATGTGCCTCGAAAGCTGTTGACCCACGGCATAAAACCCTCCAGTCAGCACGTGAGAAAGCTGCGAGCCAGCATCACTTCTGGGACCATTCTGATCATCCTCACTGGACACCACAGAGGCAAGAGAGTGGTTTTCCTGAAGTATCTCAGCAGTGGCTCGCTACTCTCAACTGGACCCCTAGTCCTCAATCAAGTTCTACTGCATAGAACACACCAGAAATTTGTCATCACCACCTCCACGAAAATTGATATTAGCAAAAATCCCAAAGCACCTTACTGATGTTTAGATTAAGAAAAAGCAGCTGCGGAAGCCCAGACACCAGAAAGGTGAGATTGTTGACACAGAGGAGAAATATGAGGACACAGAGGAGAAATATGAGATTACAGAGCAGCACAAGGTTGATCAGAAAGCTATGGACTCAGAAATTTTACCAAAAATCAAAGCTGTTCCTCAGCTCCAGGGCTACCTGTGGATTATGTTTGCCCTCACAAATGGAGTTTATTCTCACAAATTGGTGTTTTAAATTTCTTGATAAGAACCAAATTAAATAACTGATATATGTGTGTGTGTGTGTATGTGTGTGTGTATAGCAAAGTCAGAATTCCTGCCCAAAGAGGGAGAAAACAATGTAGTTGTGAAACATCCCTGCTTTGTTCAGGGTCGGGAGTATGCATAAAGTGTCCTTTTAGCCCAATTATACAAAATGCCTGCTATTTTCCAAATGAACCTCCCTGTAAGAGTGGTCCATGTAAACACGAGACAGGAGGGACAGAGTTGAGGGACATTCCAAATACCAATGATAAACAATGAAACCTGACAGACAAGAAGTGGCTGAGAGACTGGTCCGAACCATTCGGAACCAAGATTACACCTGGAACGACCTCTGTCTATATCCTACTGTATAGTATCAGCATGTTGAAGACATCCCCATCTGCAGCATGGGAGTGTGGAATAATCATAACAATAATAGAGACTACCCCAGTAAGGTCAGAAGTGGGAGAGATGGTGGTTCTAGGAAGACCCCAGACCTTTTCCTGGAAAAATCATGAATAAACTGCCCCTTACTTAGCCTGGCACTAAGCCCAGTCATATAAGCTAGACATCCACCAAAGTTTGGGGCTTTCTTGCCTACAGAGTAGCCCTTCTATCTATTTCCTTCTGGGTAACAGTTCTCCCCTTCCTCTCAGAAGAAGGAAGGAAACTGTTTACCCACCTCCTCTCACGTGACTGCTCCACCTATGGAGTA